ATTATTATTATTATTATTATTATTATTATTATTATTATTATTATTATTATTATTATTATTAGTATTATTATTATTAGGACAAAAAAAACACAATCGGGTACCAACAATGCAATAGATAGTTAACCGAGTTCTTCTCATTTTTAAGAAGAACTATTTTAAACTTTGTATAAATTCATTACCGACAACCGCAACACACATACACGCATACACGCATTACACATACGCGACACGTAACGTAATTATACATAAGAAAAAAAATCATACACATATATACGTACATCCAAATTCACGTACAAAGAAAAAGACGACGAGGTTGTAAGAAAAAAGAAAAAGAAAAAAAAATAAAAGGAAGGGTAGTTTATCCCAAAGAGAAAAAAAGCGTGTCTATGTGTATCCTACGAAATTGTAGATCGGATATCTGCGAATGAAATAAAAAAAAATAAAATAATAATAAAAAAAAAATTAATATAAAATAAAAGAAAAAAAAATAAAGAAAAAATATTATGTATGTCGGTTAACGTTATATTGTACATGCATCGATATATTTAATAATTATACATATAGGTATATTATATACGTGCATATTCATACTAGATGCATAAGTTATATTTCCACGTAATGTGAGAAAGAGTAAAAGACAATTAATGTACTTATGGACAACAATGAGATATTCTAAAAACAACAACCTTACTTTGAGGACGTAATAACTCGCTCGACGAAAAAAAAAACACATATAAAAATAAAATACATTAAATAAATATAATTATAAATATATATACATATATATATATATATATATATATATATGTAACGATGAACGATATGTAAAGTCAACAAGAGAAATAGGGGAGGAGAAAAGAAAAAAAGGGTTAATACGAGTCGTGGAGCGTCAGGCGTCGTTTGTTCGAATTTTGAACAAAATTGTGTCCAGAAAATAAAAAAATAAATAAAAAAAAAGAAAGTAAAAGAGATGAAAAAACAATATTCTAATAATAATAAGATGGCAAAGTACAACGTGTAGACGACGCGTTAATGGAAAATATGGGATAGAAGTTAGGATGATCGTTCGATTTAATAAAAGAATTCCCCATTCCCCTTGTCCCTCTTCCCCTAGCCCCTCAGGAGAATGAGAAAAAAAAATATTTTCTAAAGCGTAATTTTGTGCCTGAAATATCAATTGTCGAGATATTATTTGTAAATGAATCGTCATATTTTTTAGATCATATCAAAAAAAGATTATCATCATCTGTAGCATTGTTCGCTTCGACGTTCTGACGCTCCGATAAATTTTTTGCAAAAACACGGTTAACTATACACATATTATACATACGAATAAAAATATACATATACATATATATATATATTCATATAAGTACATGATTAATAATCGTAATTAATAAAAAAAAAGTGGTGGGATTATCGTGCGTGTGCCGTCAAAATAAAAAAAACGTCCCGTGATCGTAAGAAATACGCAAAAAAAAACAAATATAATAAAAAAGAAGATTATTCAAATGAAGAGAGGTATAAATAAACAATAATCCTAACTGACGGGACGTTTCGTTAAGAGGAAGGGAAAAAAAATAAAATAAAAAATATAAAGTGGAATTGTCGCGACACTTTAGTCGGAGTCTTCTCTCGAATATTTCCAAGGCGCTTTCACTAACTACGTTTTTCTACTTTCCAAGCGTTGCATAATTGTCGACAAGAGTACGCACATATGACGTATGCGTCCCGTCAATTCAAAACCGGAAGCGGAAACGACGAATGGGAAATGTTAACAATAATTTTTCTACGATTTTCTTTCCCTTTCTCGAAAGAGAGAGAGAGAGAGAGAGAGAGAGAGAGAGAGAAAAAGAGAGAGAGAGAAAGAGAGAGAGAGAGAGAGAGAGAGAGAGAAATAGAAGGAAAGACGGTCAACGTTGTTGACCGTTGAGAATTCAACTTGTCGGTTTTGAGATTAAGTGTATAAATATATTATATATATACATACGATACGGATAAATATAATTGAAAAAAAAAGAAAAAAAAGAATAAAACAGATTAAATTAAGATAAAGTAAAGTAAAGTATAAATTAAAGTAAAGTAAAGTAAAGTAAAGTAAAGTAAAAAATTTCAAGTGCGCGCAGATGGGAGAGGTCCTAGCGCCAATGACCTATCCCGGATAACAATCTTAGAACACGTTGTTACTGTTGTTGTTAAAGATAAAAGGAAGTGTTACATTTGTTAAGGGAGGAAACTTGATTGCACGTGATAATTATCTCGCGTCGTCGCGGAGTACGAAATAAGCCGTCTTCTAAAAGTCTAAACTATAAAGCTATGTTAATTACTCCTTAAATTTAAGAAAAATATAAGGGAAGGTGAATTAATTATTACATATATATACACGTGAAACAACCATGCGCATAAATCACAAACACATTCTCATGCATATATGTTTAGATTAATCCTTTGACTGCTAAAGGCGTATATATAAGCTCTCACAAATCCATCAATATACACGAAAGGCGTAAATATACATAGGCCCTCTGTATTTTTTTACTATAACACCTTTATATTGCTGTTTTATCGATTAATTTAACATGGAATTTATTATGATATGTAACATAGCAACTAAATATTGGCAATTATTTCAATGTCGTTTAGTTAATTGCTTTTTTATTTAAAATTCGTCTATTTTAATTTTATTATTTTTATAATTAGGTTAAAATTATAAAAAATATCCTGTTAAAAGTTATTATACTCTGTGTTACATTATAAATTTTGTATTTTTTCTTTGATATTTAAATTACCAATTATTATTGAAGGAATGCACAAAATAAATAAAATAAATTAAAATAGCTTAAAAAATTACTTGAAAAAAATTTAAAAAAATTCATATTTTTATTTTATTTGCTATTATTATCTGTTTTGGTCAGTAGTTAATGGAAAAACAGTCGTAGCGACTGACATGCGAAAATCGCACCGTGCCGTTCATATTAATGGATTGGTTCGAGAGCGCGTCACATTCAAAGGGTTAAAAAGCGCGAATACTTTTATTACCTTTTCTTCTTTCTCTTTTTTTCTAATATTTATTTACTACTGCAATCCCTCCTCTTCCCGTTTGCAATGATAGATGATCGATCGTATGAAATATGGTTGACGTAGGAACACTCTAAGATTTGTTTTGCCAAATGACAATGACCTCTCACTCGTACCATACACGCAACATACACGCAGACGCAGTTCAGATGCGCACGCATATTCGTTCTATCCGATCGATCGATCGATCTATTTATCAATCTATCTATACACAAAAAAAAAAGAGTTTCCGATCCTTTTCTTATATTCCATCTACGTCAAAGGTGATTCTTTCGATGAAAACGGTGACATCTAAACCTTTAAAAGTTGCATGAAAAATTACAATGCGATGGATGGAAATTGGATTATTTGAAGAAATCAAAGTAAAAGAAAGAAATATCAACAACGCGATCAATTCATTTATTCGTCCAGGAAAATTGTTCTACGATTGATTTATTATAGCTCGCGACGTCCCCTTTTTGTCTTTTGTTATTTACGCGTAAAAAATACAAAGGATCGATACGGTACAACGAAGAAACCGGAACACGCGTTGCTCTCTCTCTCTCTCTCTCTCTCTCTCTCTCGTCTATCTATCTGTCTGTTTCTCATTTTCCTTTTCGAGAATACGAAGATATATCATTTTTCCAATAAAACAAACGTGACTTTTCTATTCATCTTTCCTCTCAATCAAACTCGAGTGTGTCTCTCTGTCTCTGTTTCTGTCTCTTGTTTTATCTTACAATTAAATCTATTTGACATTTCTTATATGTTATTAATGTAAATCCATATGTGTGAATATTATAAATACATATATACATAGTATATGCATTTTACCGATGGAAGAAAAAAACAAGTATAAAGAAAGAGAGAGTACGTATCCCTCGTTGGTGTAGTCAGTCAGAGAAATTTAAACTAAGGTGAGAAATTTTGTGCCAAGTAAACAAAAAAAAAAAGAAATAAAAACAGAATCGTTGTACGAATTCTATATCTCTCTTGTATGTGTGCGCGCGCGTATGCGTATGTATGATGTGTGTGTTTAACTTGTACATAAAATAAAATCTAAAATACGGGAAACTATCATCCGACCGATTGGAACTTTTCGTTCTCGTCGTCTGCTTCTTCTTCATCATCATCCTGAACCGATGATATAGGAAGACTTCAAAAGAATGAGAGAAACCGTAGGAAAATATTAGAATAGTGCGAATAAAAAGAAGAAAAAGGAAGAAGAAAAAGTAATTGTAAGTCAGGAAACTTTTTCAACTTCAACCCTGTTCCCGTTGGATTTTTCTTCTCAATATTTCCCCCGTTTCCTGTCTCCGAGATAATAAAAAGGAAGAAAAAGAAAGAGGATTGTCATGAAATACGTCATTTGTTGAGATACGAAGAAACGTTTATAATATTAGGTGGTAGTTCGTGGATTGAGCTTTGATTCGGAAGAAGAAGATGATGAAAACGGAGAGGGAAAGTAAAAGAAGAGAGGATAGAAAAACAAAAAAAAACTTATTTCTACTCGCGTACTCCGTTGATCGATGCACTTTTGCGAAAAGTACGAATGATAAAGGCTTAATAAGGAAACTACATGGGCACGTAATTATATATGTTGTTTCAAATAAAACATTGTTGTTTTGTATACCTACAGCGCAGTCTCATTTTATTTTCAAATCCTACCAATTTTACAATTCCTAATTTCTTCTAATTCGATGCCAATAGAAATTTTTCGTAGACTCGATGATGTTATCAACGGTAGCTCGAATTTATCGATTTTCTTTAGAAACGAGTTTGCAGTTTTCTTTATCGGCGAGAGAAGTCGCTTGACGCTAACGTATCGACGCAATATCCCAGATGTCTCTAACATGCTTAATATCGAACTAATATCAACCTAAGTAGTAGTATATACCTATATCGTACCGACCCTAATTCAAACTTCCAATTGCAATAGCAATTTCGATGAGATGGATAATAATGGAAGACGTTTCGACCGTATCACGCTATTACCTTCGATATGCTGTCTATCAATTGGATTCTAGAAACCAACTAACCACCCACCTACCCATCACTTTCTATATCTCATCTATCTATTTGCTATTAAGAAGCAAACGCTTTTCTAACGATTGAACGATCAAACGATAAAAAGCTTCAAGCTCGAGATAAAAAGTTGGAATTTTTGGTGTGTGTGTGTGTGTGTGTGTGTGTGTGTGTGTGTGTCGGAGATAAAGGATTGAAGTAAAGAGTAAGAGAGAAAACATTCGGTTTGTCTTTATCGTGACGGAAACGTTAGGTATAAACGTCGTATAATCTAAGCGAGAAGAAGAGTGATCGACGGGTCGTTTGTTCGCCGAAGATTTCAAGCGGAACGAAAGGATTAAATTAAGAGTTGGGTTAAACGGACGCGTCTCTACGCTCGAGTTAAATCTTTTTAAGTGCGCGTCAGGGGAAAACGTCCGGGGAAATCCGAGTTGAATTTTCTTTCTTCTCGGTACCATCTCGCGCGAGCAGTATTCAACGTACGGAACACCTTGCAGTAATCCTATGAAAGAGGGAGAGAGAGAGAGAGAGAGAGAGAGAGAGAAAAAAGGGTTGGTAGGCGACACATGGGAAAGATTTCCTGCCTTCCGAATTGCAGTTCGAGTCGTGCGAATATAAAGAAGAAAAAGGAGGAGGAGGAGGAAGAAGAGGAGGAGAAGCGCGTATGTATTTTAGTTTCTCTATGTTATTTATATACTTTACGACTCGTATGAAAGTGCACCTGTATCTCTCCTAAACTCACGTTTATTGCCTACTAAATAAAATCAGCCGAATCGTCGCTTCTCTACCTACGCTAATGACATTTTTTCCCCCGACGATTATTATTACGCATTTTCAACTGAAACGTCACGTACCAGAGGTTAACTCCGTTTGAGAAAAAATTGAAAAGTTTTAAGAAATTTGATATAAAAATTTCGGTGGGAGATACAGAGACAGATCGAGGACGTTACTCTCGTTAATATCGTAGCTGTTTTTTTCTTTTTCTTTCTCTTTCTCTTTCTCTCTTTATCTCTTTCTCTCTCTGCTCGGTTCAGTGCCTCTCCCTAGTGCATTGTCTCGTGGAAGAGCGAAAAATCGACAGAACCACTAATTGGTTCTGTCAATCCGGTCGTTGAGAGGGGAAGAGGGAAGTAAACCTTTCCTAGCGTCGACGTAACACCCCAAACTCATCCTCGTGTTTCCATTTTTAGCGCGCGTCGGAGTCGAAATATCGTTAGGAGGTTTCTTTCTTCGGTCTTTTTGTCCTTTGCTCGTGAAGAACTCGGACGAGATGAGCAAAAAACAAACAACCACCGTAACTTCTCCAATTAGATCCTGTCCAGCGTTTTTTTTTTCTTTTTTTGACCATCGATGGATACGTGCCGCATCCCGAATGATTAAAAAATAGGCGAAAGAGAAAAGTGAGAGAGAGAGAGAGAGAGAGAGAGAGAGAGAGAGAGAGAGAGGCTCGTCGGGAGTGCGCACAAATTCAAGTTCAAAAAGGACCGTTACTCTTTCACCGTAGCTTCATAGAGCGATGCTTTAAATTACAACTCGCGTTCCTATGAAAATACAACGAGGTTGCATTTACAGGAGGTCGCCTTGTATTTTATTCGCCAACTCGTTCGGCTTCCCACGCTCTACCCATCATCCATCCATCCACCTCTCTCTCTCTCTCTTTCTCTCTCTCTCATTTTCGCACTTTTTCTCTTTCTATCTCCATCTCGTTCGTTCGTTAGTATGCTTTCGCTGATAAAAAATAAAAAAAATAGAATAACGTTACTGGCGTAATATTTTTTTCAACTCGTCCGCGAACCACGAGAGATGGCTAAAATTCGGACTTTCAAAGCGACCATTATTGTTTTGTCATTACGTCTGGATTTTATTTGCTACATCGAACGAACTCGTCCATATACTATATGCATATACATATGTATCCGTCTATGCACTGTACATGCATGCATACATATATATATAGGTATAGTTTGGGTAAGGTGAAAGGCAAAAGCAATGCTTTTTAAAGCAAGTATCTATCCATTCGCATGTTTCTATTTCATATGTACATAAAACGATTCCCAGCATGTTCTTTTCCTGAAAGAACAATAATCATCGTCATAATCATCATCATCATCATCATCATCATCATCATCATTATTATCATCGTCATCTATTTCTTTGACGATCTCACCTTAATTAAAGACAATAGGAAAACAAAAAAAGCAGTATGTAGGATAACTAAAAATCGTGTAATAATGTAACCGTGACCGACGCATCTCGCTTCGCGTTCAGCAAGAAACTTTACTTCTAGCTGAAATAAACTTTTTTGTTTTTCAATTATAACTCGATAACTCGAAACGTCGAACGATGAGTGGGGCTCTCGATGGCCCGATTAGTTTCTTCATTTTCTTTTTTCTCATCGTTCATCTAACTTTAACGTTCTTCTTTCGAAGGTTTTTCGTACAAAAAGTGGAGTCAATAGAATAACCTTCTGACGATAATTAAAAAAAAAAAAAAAAAAAAAATAGAGAGAATAAAATAAAACCAACGAGACATGCACGCACTTTTTTTTACACACACACATACACACACGGATCGTTGAACACGTGAAAACACCAAAAAATACACGATAAGAACTTCCCTGGCACGACGTTGACAATAAAACACTTCTCCATCCTGTGACGTTTTTTTTTGTTTGTTTTTTCGGTCAATTCGGAAACTCTTTTCTTCTCCATAGATTTCCTTGGAAGTGCCCATTCCACTCTTTTCTCCTTCTTTCCGTACGCCGCCTCGCGTAAGCGTAAACGAAACCAAAGTGATCGATGAAGGACTGACTACACACATTCCTGGGAAAACCTTTGGCACCGGGTTAGCTCGAAGGAGGTTTGAAAATTGCCTGACAGACTTCTCGTTCTTTCCATCCTTCCTACTTCCATTTTCGACGTCTCCTCGACGTCTATCCTATTCGTCCTTCTTACCCTTTAACATGTGTCGTCGTCTATGTGTGTACGTGCGCGTGTGTGGGTTGTTATCGCTCATGTTACGACGACCCAATCTCTCTCTCTCCCTCACTGCACTTCACAGACGAAGAAAGTTTCGAAGCTGCAAGGACTGTCGTTCCATTTCAACCCTTTACCGTCCCTATTCCACAATTCCAAACAATGTTCCTCTTCGCCGTTCTCGTATCTATAAAAGAAAAAAAAAACAAAAGAAAACAAGAACGATCGAGAAATGAAAAAGAGGAAGTAGGAAGTTTAAGCGAATAAGTGCTATACTTTTAAAGGATTACAAATAAATGAGAGATGTTACCGACCGAAAATTGTTCGGTTCGCCAACGTTCCAATTCTCGAATGTGATTGGCCGACCATTGGCCATCCAAAAGAAGGTTCCTTCTTCCGCTTGATCGGTACCAGACGTCCAGAAATGTTCGTGTCCAAGGCCAAAATCTTTGATGTGTTTCTCCAGTCTATCGTTTTCCTCTTGCGATGCTATGCTAGCCAAGTGCATACCATGATAACGACAGTACTGCGACGCTCTGTACCAATTTGCCTGTGAAAAACATTACCAAACGATTTAAAAAGAAAAAAAACCTTTGCAATTTTTCCTATTAGCCATGAAGACGATCGAATTTTACGAGCTCTCGAGTGGCACGTTCTTTCTTGCTTGGATCAGCTGCTTGGATAGGTGTTTCTACGAAAAGTACATATGTATCTACTTGGTAGCTCACATAGAAGTTGGGTTCTATCCTATTCGCCTTTAAGAACGATCATAACGTGGAAACGTCTCCACATAGACTCACGCGACCATTTCGAAAGTTTTTTCCTATTTTCTATAGGTTACAACACATTACGGAGGACGCGCCCGATTATCAAGTACTCAAGAGTCTATCGAGATGCATCTCCGGATGAACTTATATATATATGTATATACTAGTTACGAAAGAGTCAAGATATTTCTTAAGTCATTCGTTCGAATTATGAATACGCGATAACGTCGCAATAGTCGTTATATAAAATCTAATGTACCTCTAACTCTATGAATGCAGGAAACCTGTGAGTAGAATTTCTCTTACCGAGTGAAGAAAAACATTTTATAAACGTTATTTCAACAAAAGTAATTGTTGTCTATCTCAACATATTCCCATCGTAAAAAGCGTACGTTCGTTTAATCCTAATAAGTTTGAAATTGTTTAAATTAATACTCGTATATAATATAATAGAAATGTACTGTGACTAATATTTATAATAGAAGGGATGAAAAGTTTCGAGTAGACAGCATGTGGACTTGAGAAAGATCGATAAAATATCGTGTAGATATTTGTGGTTGTATAGGAGTATATTACTCTATGCACCGTGAAGCGTCACTCGATGTGCTTAGAGATACGGAAATAATCGAATCAAGTTCGGATGGGCTGGAGAGCGTGTTCGTAGTGGCTCTCCTCTCTTTAGAGGGCGATGACACCGATGAGAACGCGACAGCTAAATCGAACTAACGCGATTTACCTTGAAAAATATACCCAGGTAGTATCGTTTCTCCCCAAGTTTCAGCAACGGCATCGTCCATCTCGAAGTGCTCAAGGTGTTGCTCTGTTCGTCCACGCAATTTGGACAGTCATCTGAAACAGAGAGAAAAACTAATGTAAGCAAATTATAATTATACGATATCGAAGATTATTGGAGAAAGTGGTATGAAGAAAAAGTTTCTTTCTTGGGACTGACTTGTCTCTCATTCGCATAATTTTATTGCTTTCACCGTGAGAAATGCAATGGCGAAAGACCGAAAAGTTTTTACGATCTCTTACCTGAATCGTACATTCGTCGTTCTTTCATTCAATGAAAAATATGATCGAAATCGATGGACTGCATGCTTCGTCCGAACGAATTCATGAAAATTGTTTCATACGTTATTTGTTAGTATTATTTTGACTTCAAAGAGATGCACGTTCGTCGTTTGCGACGTACGGTTAATTCCAGCCTTATGAATTTCCATTTTATCCATTCCCGACTTTCTATTTTTTTTTCTGCCACGATATAACATCAATCAATTTCATCTCTTATTTAAAATTATTACTATTTAGTATCGCTCTCTCATGTTACGAAAAATACAGATAGGAATGAATGGAATCATAAAAATGGGGACTATCTGTAGGTGGGTTATAGTACATAGATATACGTACATACATGTATGCTTCGAATATCACTATTATTTTCGTTTTATACATAATTGAAAAGCACGAAAATTCGCTTGTAGTATCAATTACGCTTGATTCTATGCGTGATATCTACGTTGCCAATCTGTAATTAATTTACGACGGAAAATGCTTTAAAGAGGACGATTAAATTTCAATTTAATTTAACGGCGATTATCTCCGTACAAGCATAGACGTATACAAATACTCGGATGATTTTCAAAATTACATCAAACGATGTAAAATACTTTTTCCTGTCCGACAAAACAAGTATGTCGTCCATTAAATAATAAAAAACATTTTTTCATTGTGCATATGTTATTCGTTTTGAAAAATAAACGATCCAATACGGTTCGATAAATCAGCATGCAGAAGAAACATAGACAGAGAAAAATAATGAAAAAGAATGCTTGCTATTCTCCCTCCCACCCCTTTATCCAAAAGTGGAAATTCGCTTTGGCCGAGCTTAGTGTAGTATTCGAATGATCGACATGCTTGGAATTGCAATTGCGTAATAAAAAGGCGAGTCACGGAAAGCTCTTCAAAGAAAGGATCGGAGGAAGATGACGTATACACCTTCTACTATCTATGCGTATATCCCCATTTTTTTCCTTCTTTCTTTCTTATTAATTTATATCACAGTATTGTGTTAGAAATGAAAGTTTTTATAGGATACTATATATAACAACTGTGGGTAAATTGCATCCTCCAAAAGTTACTTCTCTATACCGTACCGGTTTCCGAGAGAATATCGAATTTCTTCACCATTTCTCATAAACTTTTACATTAATCATTTAAAGTAATATAGTTTATACCAATATTATTTTATATATTAACGGATTATCATTTCAAACAGAATTTTGTCAAATATTTTACTTATTTAGCAACACACATGTGAGATCTAAAAAGACAAAAGTGTAAAAGAAAATTAATCGAAAAAGAGAAAGGGAGGGAGGGAGAGAGAGAGAGAGAGAGAGAGAGACTTATGTTGGTTATTTTTCTTCTTTTATTTCTCCCCGATACAAGGAATTCCCTTTGATAAAGTTTTCCGTGATTCGAATCTTCGAAGAAGAAAAAGAAGAAGAAGAAAAAGAAGAAGAAAAAGTAGAAGAAGAAGAAGAATAAGAAAGATTAAACGAATAGGAAGTGGTAAAAAATGGTAGCAATTTTCTATCTTAAAAAGGTTTTCTTTTCTCGTGGCATAGGTTAGAGAAACACGTTGAACGAATTTGTGTTCGTTCGACCGCAGTCAACGGTCGTGACACCTGAGTAAGATTATCTCCAATGGGATTAAATCGAGCGAGTTAACGCGTGCCTTCAAAAAAAAAACAAAAAAGAACAACCATGGCCAACAAGTGCCTGAATCTTCACGAAAACGGTTATCAAATAGGAAGAAAAAAAGGTAATAATTAAAAGGGGTGTATTGCATATTTTAGTAATTGCATCGTTGCATTAATATTCAAGGAAATTTTCTAACAGACATCTCGAGATGTTACTTCCTGTTCCACTTGTTATTCGATCGGTTCTTTATGGTCAAGAATAAGTGCACTTTAGGATAGTAGATCGTCGCGTCGATATAAAGATAGGAAGAGAGCAAAGGTAAGAAGGTTAGAGGGAAGGGTCGAATAGGGGTAGATCGATTAAGACGACCTTTCTCTCTTCCTCCGTATTAAGCAAGGAAACGTATTTGGTCTTCGATATAATCTTGGATAGTGGAAAGCGATAGGGTTTAATTTAACGAGCTCGACGATGTACGAGAGAAAGAGGAAAGGTTGTACTAATACATAGGTACATAGTCATTCGAAGGGCACTTCTTCGTCTTGGGAAAACTTGATTGCTACCGATTTTCCGTCCATCGGTAATTAAATTCCTGCGAGTGTACGCGAAGATGAAAAGAACGCGCAACGCGTTCGAAAGGTTGAACGAGCGGAAGGACGAACGCATTTTCGAGTACTCGTTTAGGGTCTAAGTCCGTTTAAAGACGGTTAAATTGTAATTAAATTCTCTCGTAATTACTAGCTCTCGTGGTGGTTAAATGGGGGAGCATAGAGTTTTCTTCCTCTCTCTCTTTCGAGTGGGAAAGATAAGAGAATAAAATAGAGAGAGAGAGAGAGAGAGAGAGAGAGAGAGAGAGAGAGAGAGAGAGAAGAGGACGTACAAAGACAGAGAGAAGTTTCTAAACATTCCTGTAAAGCTTGTTTCACGAACGAGATCTACGTATACTCTTATGTCAGAAAATTCCAACTTTGACTGAGAGGAAGAGGAAAATGAAGGCACGCGTCGTTGCTCCCAGCGTGTATCCTCTCTCTCTTTCTCTCTCTTGTTGTACCACGTTAGCATGGATGTTTTTTAGCATGGTTGGTGCATACGTACGCACGTACTACGAACAAGTTGTTTCACACAATACCGCATTTACAATACCATCGACCCAAATCCATCGGTTCGATTTACAAATCCGCGAGCAACCATTATCAGAGCTTAAAATAGCTCGTTCGTTCGTTCGTTCGTACGTTCGCGTATCGTTTGCGATTGCTTTTCCGCCCAGGGATTCTCTACTTTACATCGTTTCAAATCTTCTTGATATATTCTTCAAACAGGATTAATCAAAATGAGAGAAATATCGCGAAATCGAATGGTTAACCGAATCGTGAGAACTGATACGCGTTAAAAACGATTGCATTTACGGTCAGGGAATATTACATACTAGTTACAATGAGTTAGTCAATGCTAAATAACGCATAAATTGCATTTCCATTCATTTTATACGAATTTATAGATTGAATTTGCAAAATCGAGTTCCGTAAGGTCGATACGAAATTCCCAAGGCCGTATGAAATATCGAATTATAGCCGAGTTTGCCCTCGTCTGTTACTACACCCCCTTTTCTCTCTTTCTCTCTCTCTCTCTCTCTCTCTCTCTCTCATTATTCTAAACATATAACGCGAAACCGCGAATTTCGAGTTACCCGAAAACTCTTCCCTTATTGGCGTAATTAATTTCCAAGACGCAAACAATGGGTAGGAGTATAGCAAAATGTTAGGGTAAGTGCACGCTAAAATCTTGGAAGATCTTAGCCTTGTGTGTGTGTGGAAATATATGAAATTAAGATATTCGATTTTTCTTCTTCATCTTTGTCTGCCTAGCATTTCTTCAAACTTTAAACGATTTCGGGGAAACTTCTGTTCCGCTTGGTCGATTCGTTTTCCGAAGGATGAAAGGGACAGGTTTCAATCCTCCACCGATGGAAACGGCTGCCATCGACTGGAATTGACTCGGTCGAGAGAGTCGAGCGAGAAGCGAACTAGAAGCAAACTAGAAGCAAACTAGAAGCGAACGAGTAAGCGCGCACGTGCGTGTCATCCTCTGTGCCATCCTCTGTACCATCTTCTGTGCCATCCTCTACAACATCAATCAACAAAACCCAGCAAAACCCAGCAAAAGCCAGTCTCTCTCCTTGTCTCTCTCTCTCTCTTTTTCTCGTGAATCATTGCCGAATCGCAATTAGAAAGAACGTTGCTACGCGCGACGAAAATCTAATTTTTTTCTTATAGTCCTTCGCTCTCCAAACTTTCATTTCCATTTATAGGATTTGTTGTTGTACATCTAACAAAAAGAAAATAAAATAAGGGAAAAAGTACGTGGATGTTTTTAATTTCGGTAGAGCGAGCTTTGGTTCATCTAAAAGCCCATCCACCCACCCACCAGTGCTACTATTTTTTTTCATTTTTTTCGATTTTCAAGGAATTCGCACACGGCCAAGGATTAACGAAATTCGATAAATCGAAACCCCCCTCCCCAGTTTGTTTATCCAACTTTTTCTCCCCTCTTTCCGAACCACTTGACCGAATAGACGGAACTAACGTTTCAAGGGAGGGAACGTGAAGCGAAGCATCTTCGGTTAAAGATTAAGTTTACATCTTTAGCGTTTAGTTGCCGAACGAAAAGAATAAAAATAAAAAGTCCGGGGGGAAGATGGGTGGGATTTATCCAAGCGAAATCAGGACGAAAGAAGGAGAGAAGACGTTACTCGCTCGAAGAATCATGGAACCTTCCGATTCGTTCGGACGAGTCCTGCAAGACAACCAACATTGCATTTTCTTTCTTTCTTTCTTTCTTTCTATCATCTCAAGAAAAGGAATTCTTCTTTCGGAAGAAGAAGCTTCCTGTGCTTTCTCCGAAATAAAGGGTGTTTGGTCGAAACGTAAAAAACAAAGTTAAGCTAGTTTCTTTTTTCTATTTGGAAAAAAGTTTCTGCCGTCTCTCTTTCGTTTCTCGAATATCAACAACGGTACTGACAACGTTCCTGCTGTCTTCCCTGTCCTGTCTTGTCCTTTACGCTTTTAGATACGTCGCCTTGAGCCTTCATTATGCAAAAAGTGCGCTCTGGAAAGTAACGTCCTTGTATTCAATCGGAATAATTTCGCGTT